GGGTCCGCATTATAATCGTAACTCGGTCTTGATATTACCGTCAGTTTAATGATTTAGATTACACAGAAATAATAGAACACAGCAGTTGACATAAAAATAATGAGATGCATGTGGTATGATTGCTAATGAGACAACTTTCCACCAAACATCCCTTTAACTAATCTGCAAGGTCACTTTCTTGCATGCAGTTTGCATCTATCAAGTTAATCTTTGTAGTTTTAATTTTATAAATATACGCATTTTTTTCTAGTCATTTATCTTTTATAAATCTCCTACAAAATACACTGTCACTTCCATATAATTATACGTTTTGTACAATTGTCTGTCTTTTTTCTGGGACTTATATATATAGTATAATAGTCCAGGGTTTTTTCATTGTTTGTAGTTTGGTCATGCCATAATCGTGGCCTGGGCATTTCAATGTAAATGTCAATCTAATTAAAATATAGAACTCGGATTTCGTTATACTGCATAACGAAATCCGAGATCTATATTTTAATTAGATTGATGTAAATGTGTTTGTGCAAATACATATCGTATATTGTCTATTGTAATTTTTAACATATAAAATGGTTAGTTATAAGTACGTCTAAACAAGTGACAACTCTAAGACAGATCAATCCATTGGATTACCAGTGAAGGTGATACACGGCTGAAAACACATATTATATTCATAATTACTCTAAATATCAGCACAACAATGTTAAATCTGCAAATTTGCGGGAGCAAATTTATGTTCTTCCCTCGCCGGGATTTGAACTCTTGCTATTGGAATATCAAGACAACGCGCCTGCATTGTGTCCAGCGCTCTAAACCCGTGACACTAGGCCACCGAAAGCTGAATTTTTAGTTCAGTCTAGATGGCCGAGTGTATCATATCATTCATTGTCATTAATTTTCTCTGCTATGCATTGTTTAATTTACACTATTTGTAATGTTGTATATGTCATGATTATAATTATTATGTTGTACACTTGGATTACGCTATTTATCATGTGCTTTATCCATTAAAATATTTGAATTTAACATATAAAGTATATTTAGTGCTTTGCTTTTGTTTATTTACATTGAGATTTACTTCTATATATGTGTAGCGGATGCCTATGTTTTGTAACAGTATTCCCTCCCTTTAACATTTTAAAATGGACTGTTGTAAAATTAACATTTAAGTGATTGTTTTAATTTACATGACCAAAAAATATAGCTACTTTATTGTGCTATAATTCATTGAATATATTCACAGATTTTGTTAAATTTGCAACTTATTATTTAATTATATAATGTTTCCATTCGTCTAGCTTTTGTAAGATAAATCTTGAGATAAATATTGACATTGGGCTATAACCATAGAGCGGCTCAGCCACTTTATTTAGACATTGCACTATTATATCAGAAAACCAAACATGCTGTATTATTGGTCGAGATATTAGTAATAGTATTGCTAATGTTAGAGATATAATTACTTTATTTGAAAATGATTAACTTGAAGGCTATATATATATATTGTTAAAATTGACCAGGAGAAAGCTTTTGACAGAGAAAGTCATGAGTATATTTTTAAACATTAAAGCAATTTGGGTTTGGTAATGTATTTATCAAGTGGATAGAGATTTTCTATACAAGAATTAATAGCTGTGTAAAATGAATGGATTTTTGACACCATATTTTGGTGTTGATAATGGAATAAGACAAGGGTGTGCAATTAGTGCCCTACTTTATGTTTTAGCAGTTGAACCTTTACAATGTAATATTAGGGAAAATGTTAATATCTCAGGTATTAAAATTCCAAATACGACTAATGAATTCGAAGCTCTTATTTTTCATCACGCAGATGACACTACTTTAACTGTGTCTGACAAAAGTTCTATTGATGAAATTTTTAATGTTTTTGAAATGTATGAAGCCAGTTCAGGCTCCAAAATAAATAAGCAAAAATCAGGGAAAAGAAAAATAACTGATATTGAGAAAAAACAAATATAAATTGCAAGTTTGTGAAAACAATATTTTATTGTTAGGAGTGTATGTTGGCAAAGATAAAACTGTTTGTGATCATTTAATTGAATTGGAGTGGTAATTAATTTAAAGTTAGTAAAATTAAGTCCTTATTAAATATGTGGATGCAGAGGCAATTGACAATACAGGGTAGAGTGAATGTTATTTCCTCATTACTTATGTCAAGATTATGGTACTCTTTGTTTGTAACATCGATGTCAGAACATGTTTTAAGAGATATTTAAACTGCATGTGTTAATTTTGTGTGGAACAATGGTGCATACTTAGTAAAATATAACACCATAATTGATCAAAAGTGTAATGGAGGTTTACAGTTACCTGATATTGAATCAAAGATGTATGCATTTAGATTAAAATTTTTGGCCAGGTTTTTAGACAAGAATTATAAAGTGCTATGAAATAGATATAAGAACTTCAAGATGTGGTATGAGTGCCAATGAGACAACTCTCCATCCAAGTCAAAATTTATAAAAGTAAACCATTATAGGTCAAAGTTCAGTCTTCAACACGGAGCCTTGGCTCACACCGAACTGCAAGCTATAAAGGGCCCCAAAAATTACTAGTGTAAAACCATTCAAACGGGAAAACCAACGGTCTAATCTGTATAAAAAACGAGAATGAGAAACACTTATGAACCACATCAACAAACGACAACTACTGAACATCAGATTCCTGACTTAGGGCAGGTGCAAAAAAATTGGAAGTCTACATTTAGATATTCTATTTCAAAATTTTTTAATATGAACTTATCATAAGAAATATTATTCATGTCTTTACTAGAAAACTTGAAATGTTTTCCTAATGTTTACAAAGAAATATTTAAAGGTTTTGATCTCATAAGAGATGATATTGAATTTGATCTTAGCACTGAAAATATATACGATCAACCTTTATGTTGTAATCAAAATGAGTTGTATGGTGGAAAAACTGTTGATCACTGTTATATGGTATGATTTTATAAATGCTGGAATTGTTCAGGTAAAAGATATATGTTATGAAGTTATAGAGGAGTTTTTACCAGAATTGGCTATAGTTGAGATGATACAAAATGTAAGTAATCATTGTGATATTAACAATATATATTGTAAAAAGATATAATATTTTAAAAGTAATATTGCCTAAAGAATGGACTGAAATTATTCATAAAAATGTTCATAGAAGAAATGTTTCTCGCTCTATAAATATTATTGTTATTTTCAAAGACAAATTGTCAGAGTTTTCTATGTGTTCTACAAAAGAATTGTATTTTTTACTTACTATTAAACTATGTCAGTATCCTGTTTGCTATAAAAAGTGGACGGAAGTTTTTGAGATTGAAGAGAATGATCTTTGTAAAGTGTGGAACAATGTCAATTTTTCCTGGAAACCCATCTATATTAATGGATCTAGATTTCAAAATAGCACATCATTGTATTTTCACTAATTCTAGACTTATGAAACCTGGTGGACTATCAGTCCCCGAGGGTATCATCAGCTCAGTAGTCAGTACTTCGGTACTGACATGATTTATAACAAACTTTTCTAAAATTGTCCGTTTATAAATTTTGAAATTATAAAGAAACTAAGGTTTCAACTCCCTCATGCAAAGTTGACCTTAGATGAATTTGGCTATTTGTTTTAGGTATTTTTGTCATATATAGCTCTTCAACTGTTTCGGTACTTATACATCCCTCGGATTTCAAATGTTTGGCATTGAGCGTTCCTGATGAAGGTAAATCCAGAAAAGCGCTTCGGACGCATGAAATTATTAAACGTGTTGTTTTCAATTTATTAATCTCAATGTATGTGATGTATGTGAAAAGGAAGTAGAAAATATAACTCATTTATTTTTATTATGTCCTGAACTAGTAGAATTTCATATGTTTCTGCAACAAAAGTTGTTGGTTTTATTTGATAATGTTGACTCTGACAAAATTAATAATGTAGTGTATGATGAGGTATTCATGTTTGGTTAAGTTGGATCTTTCAGAGGTGTAAATATAAGTTTTGTCAATTTCATGTTATTTATAGCGAGGTATTGTATCTTCAGAAGAAGGAATTTACTTAAAAATTTAAACAGTAATGTTGTTTAAAAAGACTATTTAAATACACGTTAAAACAATTATAATTACCTGTATGCATATTTGTGTGGTGTAAGATGTATGAGAAATGTTTTTGAGAAACACTTTTTAAAGTATAATATTCTTATGCAGGAGACTGAAGGTGTCATTGCATTTAATTTTTGATTATTGTGTTGATGATATATACAAATCCTTGATATATGTCATTATACTTTTTAACTATTGTTTTGTGAATATTTTTGTGTAATATGTAATATATCTATTGTATATAAAATTTATGTTGAATAATTGAATAAAGATAAAAAAAAACTTTATTGAGACATTATCTAAAAAAAATAATAAAAAAAAATTAACTTGGTCTTTTAAGATCTCTTTATGCTTCTATATATAGAGTTGTTAAGACATCTTTAGCTTTTTATGAAGAGCTTTCTGGTCTTGCACAGACCTCAACGTTAACAAGAAAGGAGACATTGTATTGCAATTTAATGCATCTAGAAAAATGTCACTCTTATGTCTTGCATCATGACTCGTCTAGATAAAGGTTAGAATGACAAATTGATTTTTTATCTACTTTTATGTGAATTTTAACTGCTTTACATTTGAATATTTTTATTTTCATAAAATTGTTGATATTTGTCAAGTTATAATTCACTAATAAACTATGAAAACTTGCTAGTGTTAAGTTTTGCAAAGCCAAATATAATTAAAGGATCAGAGACTCAGGTTCTAGTTTGAGACAGGGGTAAACAGCTGGATAAAATATGTCGACAATGACACAGTAAATACAAAACGTAAAAACCCCTACTGTTACATATGTAATATCAGTCTCAGAATTGCAGAAACTTGAGTACTATATCGCTATGCAAGGCACACAACTAAAATTTTGCGGATTTGTCTCGTTACCGGAATCCGACCGAGGATTAGAACAGTTATTACACTTCCTGTGTAAATGCTCGCATGTAAAAAAATGTTCACTTTCAGAATTTTTGCAAATAGAGCATCGAGTCAACATTTAAACAAGGGTAATACACATTATAGATAGTCAAATCGTGACATCAACCCCTCATATTATATATCTAGGCAAGGAAAGATCCCCTCAGAAACCAAAAAATGAGTTTTGTCAGATAAATTGCTACCTTAGGCACCTAGTCCAAATAATTATGACGTCTTGAAAGTCTATTTTATTTTCTTGCTTTGACGCCTTTTCCCGTGGACTTCCAAGGTATCGGGTCCATTCGCTCCCAATAGTCAATACACGTTTGCACCGGTATCGGGTCCCTTCGCCCTAACTACATGTTCGCCCTGGGTTCGTTCGCCCTGGGTCCGTTCGCCCTATTTTTATTTAGAACATGTATACATGTATGTTACATTTATGAACGAAAATAAATATTTATTAAAATTTATATATAGTACATGTATTTATCCCAATTTATATATATTTTTCTCTATAATTCTTTGACAATTTATACCTTTCTGTACTCATTGACATTGTATAAAAAAATTTAATCAACGTGTGGTTGCCGGTGATCTCAGAAGATGATTGGATGAATTTAAGGGTCATTATCTTTATCTGCTCAAAATATGCTAACAGGTGTTAATGAAATTGACAACTTTGTGAAATGTGGAAGGCACTCGAAGGGGGTTTTGGTTTAGCAAAAAATGAAAATGTATTTTTTAATCATTAGAGAAACCGATTCTTACATAGTTACTCGTGAATTATCGGATTTTTCCAATCTCGATAGTTAAATTATAAATTTTAAAGTCCTCGCCAAGGCTCAGACTTTAAAATTGATAATTTAACTATCTCGATTGGATAAATGCGATAATCAACTGGTATCAATGTAAGAATCTATATATCAAAATTTATGTATATCTATCAAAAGTTATATACAGAATATTTGAAAAATTTATATTAATTAAATTTTTGGCTGCATTTTTAAAAAAAAATTTATAATTACTTTTTAATACTGTTGATTGAATTTTGATTGCTGATTAGGTATAATTTGATGTCTGTGATATCACTGATTGTTGTATGAATTGTCTTTGGTGGATTAATAATGAAAATAACATTTTTCTCAAATAAAATAGTCAGCTTGGATGGGTTAAAGCATTGATGTACAAATTGTAAGGCGATGTACAAATTGTAAGGCATGAAAGGGAGATTATTATCTCAGCTGGGCTTCTTTGATCTCAAGTTTGTTTTGACAAATTTGTTATATATGGAAATACATACAGATAACTTAGTCTTCAGTTGTTTTATTTAAATACCTTGTAGTCCTGGAATTCACAGAAACTTATTTCCTGGTAGCAGCTAGACAACATAGTACATCATAAATAAATATTTGACGAAATTGTAGACACACTTTAACATATTCAAAAATATACACACAATGCAACAGTATATATAATAAAATAAAAATCAGGGCGAACAGGTATTAGGGCGAACGGACTCAGGGCGAACAGGTATTATGGCGAACAGGTACTAGGGCGAAATGGAATCAGGGCGAACGGACCCGGATTCGTTTGCACCCCACACGTTCGCCTTCTGGATTTGTTCAGCCCGTTCAGCCTTTGTCGTTTCGGCCATGAAATAAAAGTATCAGCCATATATTTGTATTAAATTAAAATTATATACATTTTATATCTTCTATAAAAAAAATTGGGCCAAAAAAAAAATACATGTGTTTCCGCTAACCCTTCCTACCCTAATTTTTCGTGCCTACCCTAACGCTTTTTATGCCGTTTTTGAACAAGCACTGTTAAAGTCAGACAGATTCCCTAGTAGTAACCAGCTAAAAAATGTTTGTAAAAAAATATGATATTGCCTACCTACCTACCCTATTTTTTCCCAGCACGTTAGCGGAAACACATGTTTAATTTTTTTTGGCCTTATAACAATTTTAGAAATGATGTTTTATTTTTGTTTTAAATAGTTTGTACATGATTTGTTCCAAAAAAGTGGTTTCTAGATACTTAAACAACTATCATATGTGGGATTGCAACCTTAGACCAAAGAAACATGTAGAATAGAGATGGAGAATGTGTCAAAGAGTTGACAACCCAACCAAAGAGCAGAAAACGACCCAAGGCCACCAATGGGTCTTTAACACAGCTAGAAAATCCCGCACCCAGGGGCCGGATTCAGCTGGCCTCTAACAGTAATGTTTACTAGTTCAGCGAAATGGACGTCACACTTAACTCCAAAACATACTTATAAACCAAAATTAAAATATATACATTGTATGCTTGTTTCCTACCTCCCGACAGTCCCTGTCTCAGACCTTCTGACCCTAATTTTTGGAAAATGACGCTATCAGCGGCATGTTTCCGATACCATTGACCAGAACTAACGGAAGTTGATTATACCTCCGCCTACCGCACTCGGTTTCATATTTACTATTTTACATACTAACTGGAATCTGCTTGTATTACTCGAACAAAGTGTTGTAGTCGGACGGGATCCAGCTTACATACGTTATTTTATTTACCAAAAAGATATCTTGACCTGTCCATATGTTTTTTGTTATTAAATGGTATTTGGAGCTATCCCTTTGTTATATTTTTCATATTTATTCGAGCTTTCACTTTTATGCACATGTCTTACAATCGTAAACAATCGGTATGTATACATGATAAATAGATCCGTTTTGTTATGGTGTTGGACTTTTTACCCTCCAATGATCAGCAATCGCTAGACAAAATAGTTCTCCGAAATAATGTCAGCCTTTCATGCCATTTCAACTTTACAATCATTAAAAAAGTAATAATCGGAATCATTTTGATATCCATTGGATAGAAACTGGTCTTTATCCAGATTTACGAAGATTTTAATAATCGGACATTAGTAATACGGTTATACCCACGCGGTGCGTATGAATCTTTGTTTACAAAGTTATAGCAGCAGAGTCTGTAACTGTATCATTATTAATTAACTACACTGTTATTGTACTAAATATGATGAAAACTGCATATGCAATATAAGATGTCAACTCGGCCAATACAGATTTTTTTTCCGTATTGGCCGAGTTCTGATCCGGCCAAAACAGGATTTCGGAACGTCTCTAGTTTTTAGATCGTAAGTCACGATAAACTCAAACTGAAAGAAAAAAGTTGTTTGTACGACGCAGTTTTTATTTACTCACCATAAACAAGCTGAAACGTTCAGTATGGCATATATTTTAGGTTAAAGACGGTCCCATTCATTTGAAAAGCATTTTGAAAGTAGACGATGGAATTATTTCAGGTTTGGGGAACGAGTAAATTATCACAAAGTTCATTTCTTGACGACCTCATAATTTCATCATGTCGATGGTACAAATCGATTTTTACTGTTTACTTTCGCTTCTCATGTTTTGTAAACGGTCTTTTATTTTTAAACCCGAACCAGGCATATGCATTCTGTAATTGCGCAAATCTTCGTTCTTTGGTTAATTGGCTTATGGATAGTTGTATCAATTTCAACTCTTACATTATTTTTTTTTAAATATATTTGCATTACACATGCAATGCCAGTACCTTTCCAATTACTATTTATGTGTTGTGTCTAAATTAAAGTTGTAACACTTTATGTTGACTGGAAAGGGTAGAAAAATTTATCAGATGACAAAAGGCTGAAGATACATGGAAACGGCACCAAATCATTAGATATTGCATCTTATAAAAAGAAACTGAGATTTGGATACTTCCACTTCAAGGTAAAAATGTTTATCTCTTGTGAAATGAAATAAAAAAATATTGTAACACTGTAGTTAATTAATAAAGATACTATTACATGTATTTCTGTATTGGCCTTATTGTTGGTCCTCGGCCAGCAGTATTGGCCTTCGGCTTCGCCTCAGACCAATACACCAAGACATGGACCAATAACAAGGACAATACAGAAATACTTACGCAATAATATTATAGAATGACAGTATGGTTCAATAGCGGGAATCAGCCCCTCAACTACTTTTTACATAAATATTAACTTCTGGCTTCATATCCTTGTTCGTCTTGTCTGGAGATTTTGTTGTAGTTCCAGTTAGGCAAGCATTTTAGAGACGTATCCCGTCCATCCTCTCTTGACTTGTAATTTCTGGTGATAGATTTTGCCGCTTGACGTTGTATCCTTTCAAGCTTGTTTTTTTTTTTGTTACCGTGTAGGGTCCCATACTATGGCTCCATATTAAATTGTAAGATCCATTCCTAAAGGTCTAGATCATTGTTCTAATCTGACACAAATTTCAATAACTGGAATGCTACCCAAGTTGAATATATGGTGACCTACTAGAACAGCATTATCACTATTGAAATTGTGTTTAATACCATGATTGTTCAATATCATTAACTTAAATGGAGACAGACATTTGACCTGAAAGGTGGTGTGGGAGTGCAAAATCAAAAACTAACTGACTATGATATATGGTTAAAGAATGAATATCAATTACATGGGTCAACATGGTCAAGGGCAGAGTTGTTATGAAATAACAATATGGCAGAGAAGTGGTTTCAAGTTTCATATAAAGCGACCTGACTGACATGAAATAAAAAATCAAAGGAGTATCCCTATTTGTCTAATCTTCAAGGTGAAATAAAACTAGTAAAACAATATTATACTATTGTCTAAATCTACAGAAATAATTTGCTTCAAGTAACAGAATTAACTAGGTCACTAGTAACTTATTTAATGAGTATGTGGGGTATAAGAGCTTGATAACAACAGGCTCTTCATAATCATTTGGTTTGAAAAGGATACTAGTAGTCTATATTCTTGATTTAGAAAAATGTAATTGCAAGACAAAAATCACATTACTTAGAATACTTTAGATCATTCAGGTAGTCTTTATTTATATGTACAAAAGAACAGCCAGTAGTCATTGGATATTGTAGATCATTCAAATAGTCTTGACCTATTTATTAGTACAAAAGAACAGCCAGTAGTCATTGGCTATTGTAGATCATTCGGGTAGTCTTGACCTATTTATTTATAGAAAAAAACAGCCAGTAGTCATTGGATACTGTAGATCATTCAGGTAGTCTTGACCTATACATTTGTACTAAAAAAACAGCCAGTTGTCATCTTCACATAACACACACATATACGAATATCAATTATATGCTTACGAGACATGTTGGAATGTTAAACTAATTACGGTATGTGAAAATCAAGACTTGCATAAAAAATATCACAATATTAGAGACAGTGGCGTCATTTTTCCTTAGAGCTTTCAGCTCTTTGATTGTTCATTCATTTTCAGAAGAGTTATCTGATTTCTTCAGAAAATGAATAATGAAGCACATCTTGAAACTTTACTTAACTCTAAAATGTTCAGTAATGCTCATTTGGTATTGATTTTGAGTATCCTCTGTTCTGAAATTTACCTATATCTCCATAAAAAAAATTTCTACATGGAGGCAGGAAAACAGGCATCTTTTTTTTGCCTTACTTGAATATGTACAATGGTCATATATATATATAATAAAGAGAAGGTCCCTATTGAATTTTTCAGTCACTAGGACTAGGTCAAATTAAGATTTACTAGTCTAAAATAGATTTTTTAACACTTTATTATATCCTGAACTCATATCTGAAAAGAATCATGTAAACAGGAAAAAAAAGACTATGCCATCAGGGTATAATGACCTTTTACCATGTTTACCCTTCATATGGGAGAGTGGAGTATGTGAGCTCTTTCATACAACATGTTTAAAGGGATGTAGTACTTATATACTGATAATACAGTATAAATTTGTACATGGTATTATTATTTGTCCATTATAGCTTTAAGATAGTTTGATATTTTGAAGAGATGTAGTACCAGTATAGTGATGAACCAATATAATTATTTGTCATATTTGTTGTAGCTTTAAGACAATGTAGTGTTTTGAAGGGATGTAATTCACAGATCAGGAAGATTCATACAACTAGACAATGCAACAGGCTAGCATCTGGTAAACTGCAGGAATTACAGTCGGAATTTAATCTGCAGATTAAGATGGAAAAAGATGAAGGTAAAAAAATTGATCAGGTTATTTTAGTCGAAATGGGTCTGACATCTTACAGCTTAGGTCGTCAGGTAGCAATACACAGTTAGCATGGTTAGGAGAATGTTTTCAGTTTTGCCATGCTAATTTTTCAAATATGAAAGTGATTGTGCAATAAAATTGATTTTTTGATAGCTAAACAGTATTATAGACTTCTGAGTGGATTTATATGAAAATCAAGATTGTTTTTTGCATGTTTTATGGGCATTTTCTGTTTGACAGTCTCTATCTTCATATCCATATCTGCCATATGTCCAGAAATTATTGTAATGTTTGAAATTTTCAGACGCATGGCTCAAAGGGATTAAAATTCTACTTTAGACCAAATTTTGGAGACATATGTGACATCCCCCTTTTTTTCAAAATTTTGTATCATGTAAATGCAGATTGTTGCCATGGTTACACCAAAAAGAGATTATGTTTCACCATTTTAACTATTGGAAATAAAATCTATGAAAATTTCTCTTTCCATGCATCATGTGCATATGCACATACATGACACAAATAGTAAGCTGACTTTTGTTAGTTATTAGGAAAAATTGTAGAAGATACCTAGCTATATATAGGGAGCAATCATTAAACCATGTGCTTAATTATTACCTTGACTGGTGGACATTGTCAGTTTGTTTTCAACTTATGAGTCTGATCCCTTTGGTATCTTCTGCTTCTCTTTTAATACTACATGTACTAAAGTATCCCTTAAAGTTAGAGAAAAACATCCTGTAACATATATTATAATTAAAATGAAAGGATATGATGTATCAATTTATATTGACACAAAATCATTATATCACATGAAAAAAAAAGAAACAGTGCTATTACTGCTGTTCTTCCACTCAAAATCACAGTGAAGCCTTCAACATGTTCAACATGAATAACACAGAAACTTCAGAGCACATATTAGTGGCATTAATATTTTGAATCCAGTAATTTAGTCATGTTAGTGCTTGATGTCTAGGCTCTGTTGGAAAGGTTGGAACACTGATGAAAAGAGAATTATGATCATGCTGATTAATAACAGTTAACCCTATAACTTAAAAAATAAATTTTCAGACAAATCAGACAACCCGTTGTTGGGTTGCTGCCCCTGAATTGGTAATTTTAAGAAAATTTTGCAGCTTTTGGTTATTATCTTGAATATTATTATAGATAGAGATAAACTGTAAACAGCAATAATGTACAGCAAAGTAAGATCTACAAATAAGTCAACATGACCAACATTGTCAATTGACCCCTTAAGGAGTTATTGCCCTTTATCAGTCAGGGATATAACCCTATAGAGTTATTACAGGAAATAACCAATGCATGTTATTGTGGAAAAATGACAAGAGTTATCCGCCCTTCAGTTTATCAATCTGAAATAACACATGTCCGTTATTTCACGAAAAAACTGACCTGAAATAACACATGGGTGTTATCTCGACGAGAAAATCTTAACGGCAGACAAACATTTTTGAATTTACCGCTGTTCTTTCGATGATCCAACTGCCACGTGATCCGAATGCGCGCGCATTATTTACCACGCCATTTTGATCCATCACACGTTGTAAGGTAAGTTGTTTGTAAACAGTATTTATTGATTTTATGTCACAATTATCAATTGAATGAAGTGCATTTACGTCAGACATTTTCGTGTGTTATAAGATAGCTTTGGGGTATAGGCACAAATTAGTCTAACTTGTTAGTTATTAAAGGACAATACTCTGTCGAATTTGTGTCTGCGCAAGATCGATAAGTTTCTGCGCAATTGTTTTGAAACGAGAAGTGGTCCAATTAAGATAACACATGTTCGTTATCACAGGAGACTTTTTTTTTACATTTTTGTGTGTCGCTTGGTGGGAGGATAACTCATGTAGTCTTATAAAATATATGTTTTTGTCTCCCTTCATTACTATGCGTGATTAGAAATAGAAATTATAGAATGATAACTGTATATATTTAAATTTGTATCCCAAGTCAAACGCTGCTGAAACATTATTAGCACTGTCCTGACTGTTAATGCATGATGTAACTTAACATAATAAAGTTAGTAAGAAAATGAAATATACATGATCATGATGATTATCGTGATAATGATTAAGGTTCATCATAACAAATGGAAAAAAATGGCTGTATTTCCACATCAAAAACTACTCTGAGTACAGACTTACCTGTCCAGTTGGAAAAGTTTTAATGCCTGGCATCCACTAGATATATAAAAGTTAAATGCATTTTGTGTTTCAGAAAGATAAAATCTTTTTTGGATTTTGACTATTGACGTCATACAACAATCACTTTTCCATTGTGGCGTCAGATATTTTGTATTATGACGTCAAAATTTTACGGGAACTTTTGTGATGTCCAGTAATAGCGGACAAATAGCGATAAGGTGTATTGTTTAGGCCAAAAAAAGGTTTCATGTCTGTCGTCAACATGTTAACCATTAACTTAAAAACACTTGAACTAATTCACATGAAACTTTAATGAAATGTCGATATCTATTGAATGGAGCTCCCTTTCTTATTTTTATCAATTTTAGATTTAGATTTTCTGACAGTTTCCCAGCTTTGTTTTTTTTTTGTAAAAAAAGGCGGATTTCCCAGTTTTCAGACATTAACTTAATAAATGTGTAACCAATATAAGTCAGAGAATTTATTTTCAATCATACATGTATCATGCATGTTAATAACAGGCATTCATTATCACAGAGAGAACTTTATCATGGAATAACAACAGGGTGTTATTACGGAAGAGATGACTTAAACCTTTAATATTTATAACTTTGTTTCTGTATAAAATCTAAAAACTTGCCATTCTCTAACATATTCAAGATGTTTAAATTTTATCGAAAAGGTTGAAATGAAACAGAGATCAAAGGATTAAATAGCAAAAGCTGTCGAGAAAAAGGGGACAACTTTACGTTCCCAGTTTATAGTTGCATGTCTCTACAAAAATGATCGAAATGTCTTTCAATAATTTAAATATGTTTATAAAACTTTGTCTTTCATTCTATGGAGAGAATTAATTTTCAATCATATCATGCATGTTAATAACAGGCATAGGTTATTACAGAGAGAACTTTATCATGGAATAACAACAGGGTGTTATTACCAAAGAGATCACTTAAACCTTTAGTTTAGTATTGTTAACTTTGTTTCTGAATAGAATATAAATACTTGTCATTCTCTAACATATTCGAGATGTTTAAATTTCATCGAAAAGTTTGAAATGTAACAGAGATCAAAGGATTAAATAGCAAAAGCAGCCGAGAAAAAGGGGGAGGGGAAAACTTTACATTGTTTGCCTAAAATGCTAAATAATCACAATTATTCTTACTCAAGTAACTAAATTGATTGAGATATTATCCTGTGCATTTATAATTGTGAATTTGTTCTTTTAAGACCAAAATGAGATTTTAACTTTATGCGATATAAAGAAAAAAAAAGCATGATTCTTCAAAAAATGATCAAAATGTCTATCAATAATTTAAATATGTGTATAAAACTTTGTCTTTCATTCTATGGAGAGAATTAATTTTCAATCATATCATGCATGTTAATAACAGGCATAGGTTATTACAGAGAGAACTTTATCATGGAATAACAACAGGGTGTTATTACCAAAGAGATCACTTAAACCTTTAGTTTAGTATTGTTAACTTTGTTTCTGAATAGAATATAAATACTTGTCATTCTATAACATATTCGAGATGTTTAAATTTCATCGAAAAGTTTGAAATGAAACAGAGATCAAAGGATTAAATAGCAAAAGCTGTCGAGAAAAAGGGGGAGGGGAAAACTTTACATTGAATTCCTAAAATGCGAAATAATCACAATTATTCTTACTCAAGTGACTAAATTGAGATATTATCCTGTGCATTTATAATTGTGATTTTGTTCTTTTAAGACCAAAATGAGATTTTAACTTTGTGCGATATAAAGAAAAAAAAAGCATGATTCTTCAAAAAATGATCAAAATGTCTTTCAATAATTTAAATATGTGTATAAAACTTTGTCTTTCATTCTATGGAGAGAATTAATTTTCAATCATATCATGCATGTTAATAACAGGCATAGGTTATTACAGAGAGAACTTTATCATGGAATAACAACAGGGTGTTATTACCAAAAAGATCACTTAAACCTTTAGTTTAGTATTGTTAACTTTGTTTCTGAATAGAATATAAATACTTGTCATTCTATAGCATATTCGAGATGTTTAAATTTCATCGAAAAGTTTGAAATGAAACAGAGATCAAAGGATTAAATAGCAAAAGCTGTCGAGAAAAAGGGGGAGGGGACAACTTTACATTGAATTCCTAAAATGCGAAATAATCACAATTATTCTTACTCAAGTAACTAAATTGATTGAGATATTATCCTGTGCATTTTTAATTGTGATTTTGTTCTTTTAAGACCAAAATGAGATTTTAACTTTGTGCGATATAAAGAAAAAAAAAGCATGATTCTTCAAAAAATGATCAAAATGTCTTTCAATAATTTAAATATGTGTATAAAACTTTGTCTTTCATTCTATGGAGAGAATTAATTTTCAATCGTATCATGCATGTTAATAACAGGCATAGGTTATTACAGAGAGAATTTTATCATGGAATAACAACAGGGTGTTATTACCAAAGAGATCACTTAAACCTTTAGTTTAGTATTGTTAACTTTGTTTCTGAATAGAATATAAATACTTGTCATTCTATAGCATATTCGAGATGTTTAAATTTCATCGAAAAGTTTGAAATGAAACAGAGATCAAAGGATTAAATAGCAAAAGCTGTCGAGAAAAAGGGGGAGGGGACAACTTTACATTGTTTGCCTAAAATGCTAAATAATCACAATTATTCTTACTCAAGTAACTAAATTGATTGAGATATTATTCTGTGCATTTTTAATTGTGATTTTGTTCTTTTAAGACCAAAATCAGATTTTAACTTTGTGCGATATAAAGAAAAAAAAAGCATGATTCTTCAAAAAATGATCAAAATGTCTTTCAATAATTTAAATATGTGTATAAAACTTTGTCTTTCATTCTATGGAGAGAATTAATTTTCAATCATATCATGCATGTTAATAACAGGCATAGGTTATTACAGAGAGAACTTTATCATGGAATAACAACAGGGTGTTATTACCAAAGAGATCACTTAAACCTTTAGTTTAGTATTGTTAACTTTGTTTCTGAATAGAATATAAATACTTGTCATTCTATAGCATATTCGAGATGTTTAAATTTCATCGAAAAGTTTGAAATGAAACAGAGATCAAAGGATTAAATAGCAAAAGCTGTCGAGAAAAAGGGGGAGGGGACAACTTTACATTGTTTGCCTAAAATGCTAAATAATCACAATTATTCTTACTCAAGTGACTAGATTGAGATATTATCCTGTGCATTTATAATTGTGATTTTGTTCTTTTAAGACCAAAATGAGATTTTAACTTTGTGCGATATAAAGAAAAAAAAAGCATGATTCTTCAAAAAATGATCAAAATGTCTTTCAATAATTTAAATATGTGTATAAAACTTTTGTCTTTCATTCTATGGAGAGAATTAATTTTCAATCATATCATGCATGTTAATAACAGGCATAGGTTATTACAGAGAGAACTTTATCATGGAATAACAACAGGGTGTTATTACCAAAGAGATCACTTAAACCTTTAGTTTAGTATTGTTAACTTTGTTTCTGAATAGAATATAAATACTTGTCATTCTATAGCATATTCGAGATGTTTAAATTTCATCGAAAAGTTTGAAATGAAACAGAGATCAAAGGATTAAATAGCAAAAGCTGTCGAGAAAAAGGGGGAGGGGACAACTTTACATTGAATTCCTAAAATGCGAAATAATCACAATTATTCTTACTCAAGTAACTAAATTGATTGAGATATTATCCTGTGCATTTTTAATTGTGATTTTGTTCTTTTAAGACCAAAATGAGATTTTAACTTTGTGCGATATAAAGAAAAAAAAAGCATGATTCTTCAAAAAATGATCAAAATGTCTTTCAATAATTTAAATATGTGTATAAAACTTTGTCTTTCATTCTATGGAGAGAATTAATTTTCAATCATATCATGCATGTTAATAACAGGCATAGGTTATTACAGAGAGAACTTTATCATGGAATAACAACAGGGTGTTATTACCAAAGAGATCACTTAAACCTTTAGTTTAGTATTGTTAACTTTGTTTCTGAATAGAATATAAATACTTGTCATTCTATAGCATATTCGAGATGTTTAAATTTCATCGAAAAGTTTGAAATGAAACAGAGATCAAAGGATTAAATAGCAAAAGCTGTCGAGAAAAAGGGGGAGGGGACAACTTTACATTGTTTGCCTAAAATGCTAAATAATCACAATTATTCTTACTCAAGTGACTAGATTGAGATATTATCCTGTGCATTTATAATTGTGATTTTGTTCTTTTAAGACCAAAATGAGATTTTAACTTTGTGCGATATAAAGAAAAAAAAAGCATGATTCTTCAAAAAATGATCAAAATGTCTTTCAATAATTTAAATATGTGTATAAAACTTTTGTCTTTCATTCTATGGAGAGAATTAATTTTCAATCATATCATGCATGTTAATAACAGGCATAGGTTATTACAGAGAGAACTTTATCATGGAATAACAACAGGGTGTTATTACCAAAGAGATCACTTAAACCTTTAGTTTAGTATTGTTAACTTTGTTTCTGAATAGAATATAAATACTTGTCATTCTATAGCATATTCGAGATGTTTAAATTTCATCGAAAAGTTTGAAATGAAACAGAGATCAAAGGATTAAATAGCAAAAGCTGTCGAGAAAAAGGGGGAGGGGACAACTTTACATTGAATTCCTAAAATGCGAAATAATCACAATTATTCTTACTCAAGTAACTAAATTGATTGAGATATTATCCTGTGCATTTATAATTGTGATTTTGTTCTTTTAAGACCAAAATGAGATTTTAACTTTGTGCGATATAAAGAAAAAAAAAGCATGATTCTTCAAAAAATGATCAAAATGTCTTTCAATAATTTAAATATGTGTATAAAACTTTGTCTTTCATTCTATGGAGAGAATTAATTTTCAATCATATCATGCATGTTAATAACAGGCATAGGTTATTACAGAGAGAACTTTATCATGGAATAACAACAGGGTGTTATTACCAAAGAGATCACTTAAACCTTTAGTTTAGTATTGTTAACTTTGTTTCTGAATAGAATATAAATACTTGTCATTCTATAGCATATTCGAGATGTTTAAATTTCATCGAAAAGTTTGAAATGAAACAGAGATCAAAGGATTAAATAGCAAAAGCTGTCGAGAAAAAGGGGGAGGGGACAACTTTACATTGTTTGCCTAAAATGCTAAATAATCACAATTATTCTTACTCAAGTGACTAGATTGAGATATTATCCTGTGCATTTATAATTGTGATTTTGTTCTTTTAAGACCAAAATGAGATTTTAACTTTGTGCGATATAAAGAAAAAAAAAGCATGATTCTTCAAAAAATGATCAAAATGTCTTTCAATAATTTAAATATGTGTATAAAACTTTTGTCTTTCATTCTATGGAGAGAATTAATTTTCAATCATATCATGCATGTTAATAACAGGCATAGGTTATTACAGAGAGAACTTTATCATGGAATAACAACAGGGTGTTATTACCAAAGAGATCACTTAAACCTTTAGTTTAGTATTGTTAACTTTGTTTCTGAATAGAATATAAATACTTGTCATTCTATAGCATATTCGAGATGTTTAAATTTCATCGAAAAGTTTGAAATGAAACAGAGATCAAAGGATTAAATAGCAAAAGCTGTCGAGAAAAAGGGGGAGGGGACAACTTTACATTGAATTCCTAAAATGCGAAATAATCACAATTATTCTTACTCAAGTAACTAAATTGATTGAGATATTATCCTGTGCATTTTTAATTGTGATTTTGTTCTTTTAAGACCAAAATGAGATTTTAACTTTGTGCGATATAAAGAAAAAAAAAGCATGATTCTTCAAAAAATGATCAAAATGTCTTTCAATAATTTAAATATGTGTATAAAACTTTGTCTTTCATTCTATGGAGAGAATTAATTTTCAATCATATCATGCATGTTAATAACAGGCATAGGTTATTACAGAGAGAACTTTATCATGGAATAACAACAGGGTGTTATTACCAAAGAGATCACTTAAACCTTTAGTTTAGTATTGTTAACTTTGTTTCTGAATAGAATATAAATACTTGTCATTCTATAGCATATTCGAGATGTTTAAATTTCATCGAAAAGTTTGAAATGAAACAGAGATCAAAGGATTAAATAGCAAAAGCTGTCGAGAAAAAGGGGGAGGGGACAACTTTACATTGTTTGCCTAAAATGCTAAATAATCACAATTATTCTTACTCAAGTAACTAAATTGATTGAGATATTATTCTGTGCATTTTTAATTGTGATTTTGTTCTTTTAAGACCAAAATGAGATTTTAACTTTGTGCGATATAAAGAAAAAAAAAGCATGATTCTTCAAAAAATGATCAAAATGTCTTTCAATAATTTAAATATGTGTATAAAACTTTGTCTTTCATTCTATGGAGAGAATTAATTTTCAATCATATCATGCATGTTAATAACAGGCATAGGTTATTACAGAGAGAACTTTATCATGGAATAACAACAGGGTGTTATTACCAAAGAGATCACTTAAACCTTTAGTTTAGTATTGTTTACTTTGTTTCTGAATAGAATATAAATACTTGTCATTCTATAGCATATTCGAGATGTTTAAATTTCATCGAAAAGTTTGAAATGAAACAGAGATCAAAGGATTAAATAGCAAAAGCTGTCGAGAAAAAGGGGGAGGGGACAACTTTACATTGTTTGCCTAAAATGCTAAATAATCACAATTATTCTTACTCAAGTAACTAAATTGATTGAGATTTTATTCTGTGCATTTTTAATTGTGATTTTGTTCTTTTAAGACCAAAATGAGATTTTAACTTTGTGCGATATAAAGAAAAAAAAAGCATGATTCTTCAAAAAATGATCAAAATGTCTTTCAATAATTTAAATATGTGTATAAAACTTTTGTCTTTCATTCTATGGAGAGAATTAATTTTCAATCATATCATGCATGTTAATAACAGGCATAGGTTATTACAGAGAGAACTTTATCATGGAATAACAACAGGGTGTTATTACCAAAGAGATCACTTAAACCTTTAGTTTAGTATTGTTAACTTTGTTTCTGAATAGAATATAAATACTTGTCATTCTATAGCATATTCGAGATGTTTAAATTTCATCGAAAAGTTTGAAATGAAACAGAGATCAAAGGATTAAATAGCAAAAGCTGTCGAGAAAAAGGGGGAGGGGACAACTTTACATTGAATTCCTAAAATGCGAAATAATCACAATTATTCTTACTCAAGTAACTAAATTGATTGAGATATTATCCTGTGCATTTTTAATTGTGATTTTGTTCTTTTAAGACCAAAATGAGATTTTAACTTTGTGCGATATAAAGAAAAAAAAAGCATGATTCTTCAAAAAATGATCAAAATGTCTTTCAATAATTTAAATATGTGTATAAAACTTTGTCTTTCATTCTATGGAGAGAATTAATTTTCAATCATATCATGCATGTTAATAACAGGCATAGGTTATTACAGAGAGAACTTTATCATGGAATAACAACAGGGTGTTATTACCAAAGAGATCACTTAAACCTTTAGTTTAGTATTGTTAACTTTGTTTCTGAATAGAATATAAATACTTGTCATTCTATAGCATATTCGAGATGTTTAAATTTCATCGAAAAGTTTGAAATGAAACAGAGATCAAAGGATTAAATAGCAAAAGCTGTCGAGAAAAAGGGGGAGGGGACAACTTTACATTGTTTGCCTAAAATGCTAAATAATCACAATTATTCTTACTCAAGTGACTAGATTGAGATATTATCCTGTGCATTTATAATTGTGATTTTGTTCTTTTAAGACCAAAATGAGATTTTAACTTTGTGCGATATAAAGAAAAAAAAAGCATGATTCTTCAAAAAATGATCAAAATGTCTTTCAATAATTTAAATATGTGTATAAAACTTTTGTCTTTCATTCTATGGAGAGAATTAATTTTCAATCATATCATGCATGTTAATAACAGGCATAGGTTATTACAGAGAGAACTTTATCATGGAATAACAACAGGGTGTTATTACCAAAGAGATCACTTAAACCTTTAGTTTAGTATTGTTAACTTTGTTTCTGAATAGAATATAAATACTTGTCATTCTATAGCATATTCGAGATGTTTAAATTTCATCGAAAAGTTTGAAATGAAACAGAGATCAAAGGATTAAATAGCAAAAGCTGTCGAGAAAAAGGGGGAGGGGACAACTTTACATTGAATTCCTAAAATGCGAAATAATCACAATTATTCTTACTCAAGTAACTAAATTGATTGAGATATTATCCTGTGCATTTATAATTGTGATTTTGTTCTTTTAAGACCAAAATGAGATTTTAACTTTGTGCGATATAAAGAAAAAAAAAGCATGATTCTTCAAAAAATGATCAAAATTTCTTTCAATAATTTAAATATGTGTATAAAACTTTGTCTTTCATTCTATGGAGAGAATTAATTTTCAATCATATCATGCATGTTAATAACAGGCATAGGTTATTACAGAGAGAACTTTATCATGGAATAACAACAGGGTGTTATTACCAAAGAGATCACTTAAACCTTTAGTTTAGTATTGTTAACTTTGTTTCTGAATAGAATATAAATACTTGTCATTCTATAGCATATTCGAGATGTTTAAATTTCATCGAAAAGTTTGAAATGAAACAGAGATCAAAGGATTAAATAGCAAAAGCTGTCGAGAAAAAGGGGGAGGGGACAACTTTACATTGTTTGCCTAAAATGCTAAATAATCACAATTATTCTTACTCAAGTGACTAGATTGAGATATTATCCTGTGCATTTTTAATTGTGATTTTGTTCTTTTAAGACCAAAATGAGATTTTAACTTTGTGCGATATAAAGAAAAAAAAAGCATGATTCTTCAAAAAATGATCAAAATGTCTTTCAATAATTTAAATATGTGTATAAAACTTTTGTCTTTCATTCTATGGAGAGAATTAATTTTCAATCATATCATGCATGTTAATAACAGGCATAGGTTATTACAGAGAGAACTTTATCATGGAATAACAACAGGGTGTTATTACCAAAGAGATCACTTAAACCTTTAGTTTAGTATTGTTAACTTTGTTTCTGAATAGAATATAAATACTTGTCATTCTATAGCATATTCGAGATGTTTAAATTTCATCGAAAAGTTTGAAATGAAACAGAGATCAAAGGATTAAATAGCAAAAGCTGTCGAGAAAAAGGGGGAGGGGACAACTTTACATTGAATTCCTAAAATGCGAAATAATCACAATTATTCTTACTCAAGTAACTAAATTGATTGAGATATTATCCTGTGCATTTTTAATTGTGATTTTGTTCTTTTAAGACCAAAATGAGATTTTAACTTTTTGTGATGTAAAGAAGAAAACTAAGCATTTTGTCTTTGTTGACATACAAAAATTAATTATTAAGTTTAAATGTTCTGAATATCATGTTTAATGGTGGTAAGCTGGTTCTAAAGAGTTTTTACAGAAAACTAGTTTTTGTTGCAGATTAAATTTCAACTCTAATTTGTATAGCAGAAACAACTGACAAGAAACATGGAGGCAACATCTTTAGGTAAGAGATTTTTAGATACATATAAACAGGTGCATACAGGTAAATAAAAGTAATAATGTACCCAGTGAACATGAATAAAATTTTAAATTTCAGCTTCCCTACAATAACATTTGTGACATGTACCTTGAAAAAAATATGAACAGAACATTTACATGATCATGATGATGGAAACCGCAAACTTATTTTCTGGGAAATTATTAGAAATATGTACAAGCTTGTTGTTTTCTCATAGTCCAGTGAGGAAAGATTTTTATACGACCGCAAACAAATTTTTGGGGTCGTATAATGTCGTCGTCGTATGCGTCGTCCGAAGACACATTTGGTGTCCGGACAATAACTTTAGTTTACTTGAATGGATCTCTTTGAAATTTAATAAGAAGGTTCAATACCCCTAAAGGAAGGTTGGGATTGATTTTGTGGATGATGGTCCCTACTGTTTAGGAATTAGGGTCCCAAAAGGGGCCAAAACAAGCATTTTTCTACTTTCAGGATAATCACTTGTGTGTTAGTATTTCAATTGCTCTGAAATTGTACCACAATGTTTTTTACCACAAGAAGAAGGATTGGATTCATTTTGGGGGTTATGGTGCCAACAGTTTAGGAGTTAAGGGCCAAAAAGGAGCCAAAAACAAGCATTCTGTAGTTTCTGTACAATAACTTGTGTGTAAGTGTATGGATTTCTCTGACATTGTACCACAAAGTTCCAAATCACAAAAGGAAGGCTGGGATTGAGTTTGGGGGCTACTGCCCCATTCATGCAGGAATTAGGGGACAAAAAAGGGCTAAAAAGAAGCATTTCTCTAGTTTCCAGACCATAACTTGTGTTTGAGTGTTTGGATCTCTCTGAAATTGTACTACAAGGTTCCATATAATACATTGGAAAGGCTGGGATCGAGTTTTAGTGTAAGTGCTCCAAGGGGGGATTCAAAAAGTTTTGTGGGGTTCCAATTTTTTTTAAAGGGTTCAATTTTTTTTTCTCAAAAGTTCTCAAAGTTTCAAGAAGAAATCTTTAATTGCACTGTATTGTGCAATAGATTTGTAAGATCTTGACATTTGTTTTGTGTCAGAAACCTATATTATGTCAAAAATTTGATCACGATCCAAATTCAGAGCTGTATCAAGCTTGAATGTTGTGTCCATGCTTGCCCAAACTGTTCAGGGTTTCGACCTCTGCGGTCCTATACAGCTGCGCCTTGAGGAGCACCTGGTTTAAGAATAAATTGTGCCAAAGTTACTTGTGAAAAACTTAATTTTGATACGCCTGTTTAAGGGACGTATTATGGTATACTGTTGTCCGTCCGCTCCAACATGTCGAATATTAATTCAAAAACGCTTTAACCAATTTGCATAAAACTTTGGTGAATTGTTTATATCTATTGACTTGAGTTCCCTTTTGTACTTAATAGATTTTAGATTTTATGTTTCCGAGTTGTGTGGTTTTATTCATTAGAAAAGGGGGATTTTCCAGTTTTCCGACAATAACTCAAGGTAGCAAATTTAACCAAAATGTATAACTGTTAATCATCATTGTAAAAATGAATCATACTTTGTGTACTCAGTTAACAGAAAAAAATTATGCCATCAGGTTACTTTTAAACAGGTTACTTTTAAACTGTTTTCTTATACATTCTCCCTTATCTTGCTTCAAAAATGATCTTAAGTAGCCAGCAGAATAGAACATATTTTGACTAATCATTTACATAAGCCATTTAAGCAGTGTTGCTCAATATTCCAACCCATTGAAATGGTGATCTATCTTTACAGGCATTTGATAACATGCAGTTTAAGACATTACTCCCTTTAATGAAACAAAATGGCAGATCAAAATTATCATGCCATAAAATTGGAACAAATGTGTCGACTTTGTGGGAAAAATGTGTCAACAAAATATGCATACAACAAAACACGTTTTAAAGTAGAGCTAGATGAGCTGTATAATATAGATATTGAAACTGAACCATCTGAAGTCTTTCCCTCTTTGATCTGCCGGAAAGATTCACGGGATCTGTATCGTTATCGAACATGTCGAAGTAAAATTGACCAATCAGGGGATTCCGTTTCAAAGTATAAAACAGAATTATTTGATTTCGTTCCTCACTCAGACGAGGAATGTAATGTATGCATTAAGAAAAAGTGGCGCACTAATGTTAAAAGGATGAAAACTGAACACTCTAATGAGTCTTCTGACATGATGGAAGGCACTAGTAGTTACAATAAACAAGGAGATAGCATTAATGATGCTACAAGTCAGACATCGTTCACTGATGATGGTGAAGAACACTTTCCTTATGACCTAATGAAGAATTTAATGAAAGCAATTTCTGAAAAGAACTGTAAGACAAAAGAAAAAATCTTCATGGATTTGATACATGAAATGCCATTGTGTGACGTTGAACTCTTTTCCTACTGTCTTGGAAAAAAAGTACAGACATATATTGTTGAAGATGCCTCATCTTTTGCCCTGCAATACAAGGATCCAAAAGCAATGGCCAGCTTTAATGTTAAAGCATGGTTAAACAGAAGAAACAAATGTATCATATCATTTCTTCAAGGTGTAAGCAATACAGAATTTCACACAGATCCAAATGAACAAGGAAATGAATTAAGCCTTGCTCGAGGAGTAGAACAATTGTACATGCTCAGATGTCCTTATCTTATTACACCTATTTCATTTCTTCTCAATATTTCGATTTACACATTGACAGGAAGCAGATTAGCGGTAGACATTATTGGTAATTGTTGTCCAGCAGGTCATTATCAAACTGTTACTTCTTGGCTACGAGAACAAGGAACTAAAGAGCCAGAAATACCAATAGCAGATTTAATGAATGTCTTTGACAATGAGCAGGTGATTGGAAGAAAAAGTGCCATTAGACCAAACCAGAAAGTAATTACCTCTATTATTACCAATAAAGGTGTTGTTTCCTTACATTCTGATCCATTGATCCAAGGAAAAGCAGATTTAAAACCACAAATGCTTTACAATTTGCACAAACAAAATGAGGAAAATGAAAATACTGATGGTCAACAGGAGTTACTTAACTCTATAACTTCTGAAATGATGAGCCAGTCATCTAAAAGAATCATAAAAATAGAAAGGGATCACTTTGAACAATTGTACTACTTTGTCAATGCTGCAATTGAAGTTGTGAAACAGGAACAAGTATTAGAAGGAGATAAAATCGAAGACATCATCGATCAAAAAGTAACAAAAGATGCACTGGATGACTTAATGATGCAATGTGCTACATGTGGAACATGGAACCGAAAAAAAAAACAGATTTGTAATGGTTGCAATGAAAGAGATGGATTGAAAAGAGCTAAAGAGTTGAAAAAAAAACCCAGTGTCATTACCTCCGAGAAGAAAGTTTCATACACGAAGCTTACTTTTACAAATGAAACGGACTCCACAACTCATGTTGAAAATACTGCTTATGATCACATACCCACCAGACATATGACAAGTCATTGTGTACTTTTGACAGATCCTGTTTTTTGCAACCCAAACAGCTATGAAACAGTTGCAATGGTTCTTCGTAAAATTGGGAGAGATAATGGCATTTATAAGTATGGTGGATCTGTTCGACACTGGACATTTGTATGCTGTGATGGTCTGCCGTATGTCATTTGTAAGAAATTACAAGAAGAAGCAGTCATGTGCACTGAGGATAACTGCAATGAAAAGTTTCTTTCAAAGACCAAGTTCATCATACATGCACAGGAAAAGCATCCCAATAAGGAGTACTGTGAATGTGTACATGAGTTTGACTGGTTTTATCTTCGAATTGGGGCTGGCCATTATGAGATGAACCTGATCAAGTCATTTTTTGAGCTCAATTGGATACCTTTCTTAGAACCATTGTGTGAAAGAATGGGGTTCTTATCTGATGCTGCAAAGCAATATGCCAAAGCCTGCAAAGATCTGCACAAAAGCTGGAACTTGTTATTGATATTCCATCTAGCTTCCTTGAGAGAATTAGTTTTGCCCTATGTGCGTCACAGTTTAAAGAATGGATCAAATCCAGATGCCAAACAATTTTTTGAATTTAACAATCAATCATATCAGTCTAATGCAAGCCCAAATTTTAAGTATATGATGGACCAGGTTTGTCGCTTCTCACAAGCTATTATCAACTTCAGAATGTCTATCAGAAGGAATAATTCTGACTTGCTAAAGAGTTCTAAATTCATGACAAAAGAGTTGTTTCATGGTCGTCAACATCCTAAATACCAAGAAATTGAGATCAATGATACATTACAAGATCTGCTTATGCCATGTGAAGTGCAGAATCTAAATGATGCATATTCTTCCATTACCACCACTGAAAATAAATCAACTGGTCAAGATTTTGATTTTATATTAGAGGAAAAGAATCGACAATTAAAATCCTGGATTCCAAAAGGCATTCCCACAGATTCTATTTGGCAAACAGTATGTCGTAATAATTTAATTCTTGAAAAAATCAAACACAATTCCCTCTCATTATTTGCCATACAGACTGAAAAGGGCAAATCAAAACCAATGCACCTTGAAGATTCAATTCACAACTACCGATGCCTTCTGCGCAGTACAAACTACTTGAACAAGTCTGGTGATCACATCTCGATAACAAATGTTGCATTAGACCAAGGCCTTGTTAAATACATAGAACAGTCTACCACTAAAAGGAATCATTATATCAAGACACATATTTTAAAAGAAGATCTAGAAAGCTCTGTTTTTATCAGAAACCCAGTGCCATTGACTCCAACTGAAAGAGAAAAATTTTATAGCTTGGAAAACCTAACAGTTATTCAAATCAAGGCAAAAATTGAACACCTTTTAAACATTATACCAGAAGGCATGCAATTTGATTACCACCAGCATATATATGCAACTGAAATCAAAGGGAAAAACAAAGAAACGCATATCAGATTCCTTCAAGCCCTACAGGAAGCCACATTAGATTCCACTGAGTCAATGGAGGAAAATCTAGAAATCACGAATCCAGCTACATCATACAAGGAACCAATTTCTCAAGCTTCAGGTCATGATTTATAAGTAAGGAAGTCTTGCTGCTTTTTTGACATTACATAATAGGGGAGAAGTTGTTATCCTGCATGTTTATCGCTGCTATAACTAAAAAGCATGATTCTGTGTGTAGTGCATTTGTTTACAATTTATCAACTGTAAAGACTAATCATAAATAATATCTTTTTATATCCTTATAGTGGCACATTGTACATGTAGATGGTTAAAAAAAATCCTTTAGGTTGTCAACCATATCTATTTGCAAGAAAGACCTACATGATTTATACTAATTTATTTTTACTAAGATGATCTTTCATGTAACAAGATATATTCCAGATTTTTTATTCCTTTCAGCATGTTCAGCAATATAAAAAAGATACCCTCCTAAATCATTAACTTTCTTCATTGTTCTTATTGCATTCAATGTAGTAGTTTGAGGAGAAGGAGTATATATTGGTCTATTATCATGATTACTTGTCTGTAGATGTTATTTTGATGCACATAATATTGCACTCTTCAAAGAATGTTTGAATGCTGGTAATCATTTCTAACTTGGTTGATATGTTTATACAGAGCAAATCCTTACAGCCATTGTTGTCCTAGTTGCACTGGTGGTGTTGATAGTGCTCCTTCTGATACTTTTCAGAAAGATGTGCCAGCACTTCAGCTTTGGCATACAGGCTAGGTATCAGCAATGATAAAAGTTTCAATTTCAAGTTTTAAATTGATAATATTATAGTCAAACCTGTTGAAGAGACCTTGTTATCATGATTATCATGCTTATATATCATAAATATTTTTTAAACACATTTATTTAACCTTTGAATTTTTTTTTATTCAAAATTCAGATATACACAACAGCCTGTGTGGATTTTGCTTTTTCCACCGGCCCACCGTGGGCAGTCCACCTGTGCCCACTCTAGCTATAATCTCTTTTTTTTTTTTTAAATATTGATTACAAATGCTTATCTGCTTTTTTCAAGTGATTGTACTTGCAAGAAATTGAATGCCCACTCCTACAGGTGGGCAGAGTGGACAAGGTACAAATTTTGCCCACCCGGTGCCCACTCCCATGGTAAAATCCACCCGAGCTGTAGTGTATCATGTCTTTTAGACTCACTCTTTTAGATTTCATTGTCCGAACCAGGTTTGACTAATGCATGTTTTAAATTTCAGATGATCATAAGTTTACAAATGTATCTAATATGTTGACTTAGATCCTTGTAAATCACTTTAGTTGACTTTTGGTTCAATTTTTTGAATGTAACATTAAGATGTTTGACTTAAACATGTCCAAGAAACTGATAATGTTAATGTTGCAAGGATCTATGTGGATATTGCATTTAAATTTAAGACAGATATTGATTTTTAGCTCACATGGCCTTACTTTGTAAATTTGATTAAATTTATATGGGTGGCATCACTTTTCTCACTTTAAGTTAATTCCCTTCATAACATGAATGAAATTGATGCATCATCTATCATGTCTATGGACCATGAACACATTATCATGATAATTTTATTTTCACTATTACATGTATTAAGAAATGATTAATGTGAAATTCCTAATGAAGCTAAAAATTAATATTTGTATACTAATACTAATCATAATTAATAACAGAATGGCATGTTTGAAACAGTTTTATTAATACTCTTGTTATAGCATGTAGTTAAAATTATACATGTTACATGTAAAGTCAAAAAGTTTACTTTGTTTTCTTAACAAACATCATAATTACATGATGTTATTATAATGGACTATGAAAGATAGTATACTTCATATACTTGTAACATTAAGCGGCCATATATTATAAATTTAAGATTGCTAAATAAACTCATCATAGATACAAGGATTAAATTATTTACATTAGCAATGCGTATAATATATATACAATTTAGCACCATTTTCTGTAATCAGCTGGTAATTGCAATCAGATTCTTGACAAGTGCATAACAATCACAATGCTAAATAAATGCTAAAATTTCTGAAATTACTTTGTCTATCATGTCTATGTAATATTGTTACTTCTAACACTGCACGAATTACACCCCTTGATATTTATTAAGTTTCCTGTAATTATCATGTTTACCATTTTATTAATCTTATAATTATCTTTATTATGATCATTGAGTAATATAACTTCAAAAGTAATTAATTATCTGAGCATTGATTGATAATGATGTTTGAACAATAAAACTTGTGTATGACTTAAAGATCATTCTCCCTGCTTTAATAACACATTTAATGGGGGAAAATGGAATAAAGCAGATTGATATGATTCGATTAACATCATAATCATACTGATGGAGGATATCTGTTATCTGAAATATTTATAGATAATTACATTTATAGTTTCTTTTTTTTTATTGGTGTTGTTATGTACACTTTTTAGGCATTTATACAATTTATTTATTGTGTACATGTATCGTTACTCATAACGATCCAACGCCCTCATGGAGAAAATCGCTAACTATTATTCAGACGTTTTATATATACGTGTATTATATATATATAGATAGATAGATCATATACATACATCATGTACATGTACTAGTTTAAATCATGCCAAGTACATGTATTATATATATATATATGCTGTTTTGACTTGAATTTATTAAATTGTCTTTAATTGTTTAATAAATACTGTTTACTTTTTTACAGATTCAACCAGGAGCCAAGATGGGGCCCCTAGAGAGCCTGAAAAGGCACTAACTCAGGATGTACATAATGTAAATATTGATGATAGTGATGATAGTGTAAATAGTGTTAAAAGTGTTAATAGTCAGACAAAATTCATAAGTGACCATGGTGACCAATCTAGTAATGATCATGATGATAGTGGTGAGGAAGGATGGGCAAGGCTCAAACCTGGTGCAAAAAAAAGAGTTAAAACCAAATCAGATGGAATTAGAAATAGAAAACAATCCCTTAGAATGAAGAAAAGTAGAGCCATCAAGAAATTTCAAAAACTGAAGGACAAGCTTTTAAAGGAACAAGTATATGAACCAGTAGAAGTTCTTTATGTTATTTATGAAAAAAAAACTAAAAAATTCAAATACGACGGCTCAGGGTTCCTATTAAGACAGTTCGAAAATGGAAAGCCTCTCTCAAAGGGAGTTCCCAGGAGAAATCTGAAAGACAGAAGGTCAATTGTTGATCTAGACATGAGTGGAAGCAAGGAAAAGGGGGTAAAGTTTTTAACCCCACATAAGTACAGATATTCGTTTGCTCTGGGTCAGGCTGAAAATCATGAAGATGATAGAAAAGTACAAACTGAAGATGAAGATGTAAGCATGGTAAGAGATGAAGATAATTTTGAGGAAAAGGATGAAGATAATTTTGAGGAAAAGGATGAAGAAAAGATGTCTCTAGCAGCTGACCAAAGAGCGGAATTAGAAACCATCGGAATAGCAGAAGGGGAGCAACGCACCAAAATGAAGGTGCCGACAAAGATCAGGTAATTGTTATTTAGGAACATTGACATGAACTTTGTTCTATTCAGCCATTTTATAATGCTTTGATTTTTTTATTCAAAAAGCAAATGTAGTACAGACTACAGTACAACAGTTGACACGAGTTTTTTTGTTGTTTTATAAATATACTCTACTTTTTCAGTCAAAGCTTGATAGATATAGGAAGATGTGGTATGAGTGCCAATGAGACAACTCTGTATCCAAGTCACAATTTATAAAAGTAAACCATTATAGGTCAAGGTACGGCCTTCAACAGCCTAGACTTAACACTTAACCATGTTAACAGCAAGCTATAAATTAAAGGGTTCCAAAAATTACTAGGGTAAAACCATTCAAACCGGAAAACCAACGGTGTAATCTATATAAAAAACCAGAAACACTTAGGAACCATATGAACAGACAACAACCACTGAACATCAGATTTAATTTTTTATATAAATTACAGAAAAACAACTACAAGGAGGAAGCTGGTGGTAGAGACAACCCCGAAAGGAAGAGGCAGAGGTAGAGGAGGAAAAGGCAGAGGGGGAAAGATAACAAGAAAGTAAGATTTTGAAATACTCAAAGCAATTTATGAACAGGAGGTTTGCCATCTAACACGTCTAACAGCTTCTGTAAATATAAAGAAAATGGCAATTTTGGGATCATGCTTAAATAAACAAAATAACACCTTTGTAGAATAAAACCAAAAACAAAGTAGAGCACCTTTAACTTTTTGAAACCTGGTTAGCTAAATTGATCTTGAAGAGATTAAATCTGTTAAAGACTTTTAGATTTAAAGTATAAGTACAGTTGAACATGTTCTAAATGAAGTGTTGTGGATCCTCTATATCTATGCTCTTTTTTCAGAAGAAAGAAGAGTGAGTCCTCGTCAGACTCATCTGACAACAGTATGAATCAGAGGTAAGTTTTATTGTAATTTTGCATTCTGGTAAAGCCAAGTTTTACTGTTAGAGTATTGTCAAAGAACGTCAATCGCAATGAATCAATTTGAAGCAGGAGAAAACAACTTTTACATGATTATGAAAATAAGAAGATGTGACATGTGTGGTATGATTGATAATGAGTAAACTACTTGTCAAAATGTAAGTGACAGATATTAGAAATTTTATATAACATGCTGGCCTTAAATGTGAAGCATATTTCTTGTATACTCATTCAATGAAGATTAATTGTGCCAGTTATAAATCAAATTTCTTGTTTAAAATGATGTAAATGATGATACTTTAACTGTGTATACTTTTTCTATTAAAGTACTGAAGAACCTTCTGTTAAAATTGCCATGGATAAATCAAAAAAAGGAAGAGGCAGAGGTAGAGGTGGAAGCCAAACAAGAAAGTAAGATTTTAAAGTACTTGTGTTTTTCTATCATATCTATAGATGAAAAGCAATTTATGAAAAGGAGGTTTGGTATCTTACTGCTTCTGGTACAAACAAGAAAATGTATAGATACATTGCCATTTTAGTGATAATAACTATTAAAAACAATTCCACACCTTTCCAGAACGTAAGTAAAAAAATTACAAGATAAAGCAGCTTAATATTTATAAAATCTGAAGACTAACTAAATTGCTCAAGATGGATCTGATTATTTCTCTCTTAATGACATGCTATGCTTTTCTAATTTTCATAAGTACAGCTGTACATGTTTTTAATAAAGTGTTGTGGATCCTCTACATTTATGCTCTTTTTTCAGAAGAAAGAAGAGTGAGTCCTCGTCACATTCATCTGACAACAGTATTAATCAGAGGTAAGTTTTATTGTAATTTTGCATTCTGGTAAAGCCAAGTTTTACTGTTAGAGTATTGTCAAAGAACGTCAATTGCAATGAATTAATTTGAGGCAGGAGAAAACAACTTTCATGTGATTATGAAAAATTATTGCTAGAAACTATGGAGCACTTGGCGTTGCTTATGAAATTGACAACTTCGTCATAGGTTAAAAATAGTGATAAACAGATTATCATTTGTCATCTCAACTCTATTGCTTTTCTCACTTTCACCATACTAGCTCAATCGAGAAAATCAATCTCATTAGACATGTTAGAGATGATCAAGGATAATAAATAAATACAATTTCTTGTTTCTGTTTTAAAAGTGTTAAATGTGTATACTTTTTATTAAAGTAATGAAGAACCAGAAGACATGGTAGAAGAGAGCGATGAAAGTTTTCATGGGCCTGTGTTGCCAATGCTCAGTATTACAGAAGACAGGTAAGCCTTAAACTTTATTTTAGATGTAAAGAAAAGATAAATGTTTTATTTAAATGAGATATGATAAACAATCATAAAATTTCTGGTTTCATTATGAAATTTCTACTTTGTACATGTTGTACTTTGAAGAAAGTCGTGGGAATATATTTTTTTTTGCAATTTTCTTTAATAAACATTTCCTAAAAAAAAATAATGGATAATCGTCACTGTATCATATGCTCTTAACATATAATCGTTTTAAAATATTGTAAATTATCTTGTCTATATATATTCATATATCATGTATATTATTCAACAAAAATAAACATTATACACAGTTTTCAATTGGAATTGGTCTTTAAATTGCACCACCATATGCAATAAAGGTGATGTCTCCACTTTCAATCCAACATTAATGTTTTTTTTTTTTTAAACCAGTTTTCAGGGAGTTGTGGATGGGGATGATAGGTTGGATATCAACCTGGAGGCCCATGGTCTTGATTTTCAAGACCTATTGCAAATATCTATAGAAGCAGAGGTATAAAATGCATGCAATAACTTGTTCTGTTTGAATAGTTATTTAACATATGGCATGCATGCATTTGAAAGATAAGTGGTTTTAAACCCGTTGAATTTGGTTTTCACGAAAATGTCTGATTTCAGTGTTCAAGATAAATGTGAAAGAAGTTCGGATTTTTTTCAACTTTTTTCTGCATTCATTGCATTGGGCATAGATGACTGAGGATGGATTTGTAGTTTTATGTCCCATTTGGTGGTCAAGATTGTGTGTTCCTTTACTTTGCTTGAACATTGTTCACAATGAGGGTTCTAAATGAACTAAAAAAAAAATATCTTTTCACAAAGTTCAATGAAGTGTGACATTTAAAAAAAAAATAGTTATTTTCATTATAAATGGTATAAAGTGTATGAAGAACTGTGTTCTGCTCTTTGGTTGGTTGTTGTTTCGTTCAGACATTCCCTGTGGTTATTTTTTATTCTATAACTTGATAAACCCCATTGCTAAAGTTTTTGAAGTACAAAGGAATCCCCGTGTCTGTCCATCTGTTGCTCATTCTTTAACCTCCTCCTTCACAGATTGATCGATATTGATGGATATTGATGTAACTTACACAGTTATAATTTTAGCTAAACATTCCAAGAGTCTTAACATTAATTTCTTCAATTTATTACACAATTAAGGCTTGACATTTAACAAGAAGCATGATATTTTTTTTTCACCGATTATTTAAGTTTGAATCACTTTGATCATTGTGGATAGTTCCACTCTACCAACAATTATGACCATGTCTCATATATAAATATTTTGTGTTTAGCAATTTTAAAAATTATCTAGTTAATTTTTCTGAAATGGTTTTTTCTTCCTAGAATTTCAGGGTATTAAGCAAATTATTTTGAATTTTTTGAATTTTTAAATTTTATTAGCAATTGTATTTTTCTGGCAGATAGTGAAAAGGCTATGTAAATTCTCACCTGTTGTGCTTTCTATTTGATTAAATAAAAATAACAAATTGCAGAATGAATACAGATTGGAATTATATTATTGTTACTAATCATACTAATAGTAAATTGTAAAAAAAATGCATAAAGCATGTTTTGCTGCTAAAATTACCACTAATATTTTTGGCCCTTAATTCCTTAGCTGTTGGCACCATAACCCCCAAAATGAATCCAAACCTTCTACTTGTGGAATTTAACATTGTGGTACAATTTCAGAGCAATTGAAATACTTATACACAAGTTATTATCCTGAAAGTAGAAAAATGCTTGTTTTGGGCCCCTAATTCCTAAACGGTTGGAGCCATCAATCCCAACCCTTCCTTTGTGGTATAATACCTTCTTATAAAATTTCAAAGAGATCCATTCACGTAAACTAAACATGCTAAAGTTATTGTCCGGTAACCAAATGTGTCTTCGGACGACGCAGACGATGACGACATCATACCATTATACGACCCAAAAAAAATTTTGCGGTCGTATAAAAATGAGTGGCAAAAGATACCAGCATGACCAGAGGGACATTCAAACTCAAAGAAAAAAAAGACAAACAAATAAAAGTACAACACAAAACACAACATGGAAAACTAAAGACTACATGGACTTTAAGCAACACGAACTCCACCAAACACTTGGGGTGATCTCAGATGTTCCATAAAGATAATCATATATACTGAAATCTTTCCAGTTTGATAAAAAAAGATTCTATATTCTAAATATATCCAATTGCAGGAAAGAGATACAGTCGGGGATACAACTGAAGAAAAAACCATGTCAGTTGAAAATGTCTGTAAAGAACAAGAATTTCAAGTGGGACACCATGTTTCTGTCAAACATGGCAAAGACATGTTTCCTGCTGTTGTAAGTAGATGTTGAATATTATTGAAAAAGTATTGAGTAAAATATTTAAAAAACTGTTATCACAGAGATATGTCTCGCTTTTTGGTAATTTCGATAATGCAAATCAATAGCAACACTTTAACATGTAAGATTTGCAAAATATTCAAAGTCAATGAACCATGGCTGAAGGTACATTACTAAACAATATCCATGGAAATGAGATGTGCTAATGCAAATACAATACATACCAAATACCAATGACTTATCATTAGTAGTTCCCTTTAAACAAACCTTAACACAAACTAATACATGTAAACTATGCAAAATTTCAAAATCAATAAACCATAACTGAGGGGACGGGGTCAAATAATCTCCATGGTAATGAGATGTGCCAATGCTAATACAACTGCATACCAAATATCATTGACCTTCCATTAGTGGTTCTCCATAAACTGACCTAATCACAAACTAATACATGAAAATTAAGCAAAAGTTGCAAAGTCAATAGACCATGACTGAGGGGACAGGGCCAAATAATCTCCATGGAAATGAGATAAGCCAATGCTTACACACACGTGTGTGTTAACAAATACAGGTAGGTGTATTGCATTCAACATGGCTATCATTGCTGAAGTAACTAATTTCAGATGTTATTTCCATTTTTGTACCATTCAATATTTCTTTTTTTTTTTATTTCAGATCACAAAATATGATCATGATGATGGAACCTACTGGGTACAGTACTTTAAGGACATGAAGGAAAGTACAAAAGAAAAGTGGAGTTTAATGCCAAAAGTTTTTAGTGTTTTACATTCAGAATTTGTTAAATTGTTACAGCCACCAGACTTGATTTTTGAAAGTGCATCTAGATTTTTTTACAAATTTCCTGATTTTTTGGTTTGAAGTAGTGGAAACATATAGAATTTTTTTAATTTGGCTTTAAAATCATGAATTTATAAATGGTAATCATGGTTACTAAGTATGTAATGTTTCAGGAAAACTGGATTTTTTTATAAATCCACAAGCTTAAGACTATCATCATTCTTTTTACATGGAAATTCAATTCAACATCTAATTTTAATGGCTCATTATCATGATCATTACTACATTGGTTACGTAGGATTATTGTAATTTAATTAAAGTCCCTACAATAGTGACATTCCATTTAATGTACCGATGTGCTTTAATGTTACATTCAAATAGAATATTCCTTTAGTAAGATTGTTGTCTATTACTTTTACAACTACGGGTAAATAGTATGTGTTGTCTCTTTCACAGTGAAGATCTCATTTAACCAGTATTTCTTTTTAAATAGAGGTGCTTATTATGTTATTTTTATAAATATATATTGTTAAATTCTTCCACAAGGGTTTTTTTTTACCCATTTTTTATGTTAATTTGTTTGTTGCTTCAAATGTTGGGTTCAGCATTTCATTCATAACATGCTGACAAATTGGGTTCAGCATTTCATTCCAAACAAGCTGACAAATTGGGTTCAGCTCAGCTCAATCAAGTACTTTTATTCTTGATATTTTATATTGTATCCACTACTTTATTTTGAAAATCTTTTTGATTTTTATGTGTATAGTTGTAAATATAGTTGTTGACAGATTGAATGTGTTAGAAACACGATTTTTTTTTTCATTGTGTCTTAACCATGTTAACATTTGAAAAAGAACTATCAGACATCATGGACAAATTGATTATTTAGAATTGAATTGAAACCATACATCAATTTCAGTTTGTTGTCTATTATTACTTTTACAACTACGGGTAAATATTATGTGTTGTCTCTTTCACAGTGAAGATCTCATTTAACCAGTATTTTTTTTTAAATAGAGGTGCTTAATATGTTATTTTTATAAATATATATTGTTAAATTCTTTCAACAAGGGTTTTTTTTACCCATTTTTTATGTTCATTTGTTTGTTGCTTCAAATGTTGGGTTCAGCATTTCATTCATAACATGCTGACAAATTGGGTTCAGCATTTCATTCCAAACAAGCTGACAAATTGGGTTCAGCTCAGCTCAATCAAGTACTTTTATTCTTAATATTTTATATTGTATCCACTACTTTATTTTGAAAATCTTTTTGATTTTTATGTGTATAGTTGTAAATATAGTTGTTGACAGATTGAATGTGTTAGAAACACGATTTTTTTTTTCATTGTGTCTTAACCATGTTAACATTTGAAAAAGAACTATCAGACATCATGGACAAATTGATTATTTAGAATTGAATTGAAACCATACATCAATTTCAGTTTGTTGTCTATTATTACTTTTACAACTACGGGTAAATAGTATGTGTTGTCTCTTTCACAGTGAAGATCTCATTTAACCAGTATTTTTTTTTAAATAGAGGTGCTTAATATGTTATTTTTATAAATATATATTGTTAAATTCTTTCAACAAGGGTTTTTTTGACCCATTTTTTATGTTCATTTGTTTGTTGCTTCAAATGTTGGGTTCAGCATTTCATTCAAAACATGCTGACAAATTAGGTTCAGCATTTCATTCATAACATTCTGAAAAGTTGCATTTTTACCATACTCTGTTATATAAAGTTGTAGATATCATTGTTGACCGATGGTGTTCAAACTAAAAGTTTTTTTTGTTTTTTTTTGTAGTTTTTATTGTATTTGGTGAAGGAGAAATACTGGTGAAGTAATTTGTTTATGTTTTCAAGATTGTTTGATCTCCGTTATCAAATTTTGTTTTAAAAAGGGATGATTTTAAAATTTATTATTATAATGCGATTTAATTTCCTTAATGGTGTTTATTCTAATACATGTAATATGACTTTAATCTTTCCCTATAACCAAAATATAAGAAATTTTGCTAAATTCATGGGGTTACAGACTTTGTTTTTATAGTATTTACCACTTTAGTTGGAAGGGGAAAACATAAAAATTCTGAGGTTTTATGGCCTAAAACATTTTTACAACGCGATGACATTACACTTTTTTGATATACTGTAAAAACAAAGTCGGAAATCCCATGATTATTTTACATCAACCAACAACATGAAGTTTTTTAAGAAAAATCTATAGAGTAGAGCGATTTCATTAACAATTGTTGTTTATCATGTTGATATACATGATCATGATGATATAGTGCTTATTTTGTTACCTAAATATAATGCCTTATCTTGTTGATATAGTGCTTATTTTGTTACCTAAATATGATGCATGGGTATAAATCTAACCATGACAACAAAACACTTTGTGCTAAATTTATTGCTTTACTGATATTCATCTTTTTATATAACAGCGAAACATTAATTTGTGTGCTGCAAATGTGCCACTTTAGAAGATTCATCATAATTCTACAACTTTTTTTAATGCAAAAAAACATTCCTGAATTATGTTTTTTAACTTACCATTATGTTCTCCTTGGATTAAATATTTTTTAAACTCCAATTATATAATCTGGCTTTGCAGTATTATTTACATGATTATTGTTAATTTGTCAACGACAAACATTCAATTATGTGGAAAAAACATTACAAACAATAGATTTAGCTGTTTGTACCAAATGGTAAATCAAGATTCATAAATATTCAATAGCAATTCCAATAATTGCAAAGTGACATTCCAAAAAAAAAAATCTCTTCGTTTTGTATGTCAATGTATGTGTTTGCCCTTCTTCGATGTTTTCAGATTTTTTTTTAAATGAAATTTTTAATAATCCGTGATCTTACATGGCAAATTATTATTTTAGTTTTTAACTGACATCCATAAATTTTTAAGGTACAAAGACATCTATACCACACAAATTTGAGTTGTAATTATACACTTTTTTTTTAAAACAAATCCACTTTCCTCTTTACAAGCTCATCAGACTTTATATTGATATATCAAAATCAAAAGAATACTCGAAAGAATTAGAAATAAAGGTAGTGTGATCTCAAATATATAAACTATTGGATTATTGTTTGAATTTTATTCAGAATCATGTCAACATGTACATATGTTATGCAAAATAAATTTGTTTTAATTGTTATTGTATGTTTTCTATTATTACCTCAGACATTGTAAGAACCTAACTACAACCATGACAACAAGAATATCTAAATCTTGGAACACACATACCCATATTCATAATATTGCCTGCTGGGAATTTATTGATTTTAGGGTAAAATAAAAATCATAAGCATGATAACATGCATAAGGTTAAAGGGCAATTGATATATAGGTGGATTTTGCCTGAGTGACTTACTAATGGAGATGTTTGACATTTTAAGTAAGTATATATACAAATAAAAAGATGTGGTATGAGTGCCAATGAGAAATCATTCAAGTCACTATGTATAAAAAGTTAATAATTATAGGTTTTTATCACAGAGCCTTTGCTAACATAATCATTGATGGTGTTTTAACAGTCTTGACTGGCTGATTATCTGTAGTAGGGTCAGTGCATATAAAATATGCATTAAGTTTTAACATGTTTAATGTGTGCCAACCTTCACCCTAAAATCAGCAGCTAAAGTAAAAGTTTTATCACAGGTTCAGCATTAACTATTACATGTATTAACAGCTGTCTTATTTTTCGTCTAGAAAAATCACGAACAATAGTTACCCAAGAGAAAAATATCATTTTTAGAGTTTTTTAAAAATACGCAAGAGATGCCCACCCAACAGTTTATTATTCTGCAATAACACATGTGGATTATGTCATGAAATAGTTTGACATGCAATAACACACATGTGTTATCTCAGTGATTTAGATAAGATTATTCAAACACTGAGAATGAAATAGTTTGACATGCAATAACACACAGGTGTTATCTCAGTGATTTAGATAAGATTATTCAAACACTGAGAATGAAATAGTTTGACATGTAATAACACACAGGTGTTATCTCAGTGATTTAGATAATATTATTCAAACACTGAGAATGAAATAGTTTGACATGCAATAACACACAGGTGTTATTTCAGTGATTTAGATAATATGCAAACACTGAGAATGAAATAGTTTGACATGCAATAACACACAGGTGTTATCTCAGTGATTTAGATAAGATTATTCAAACACTGAGAATGAATTGGTTTCACATGCAATAACACACAGGTGTTATCTGAGTGATTTAGATAAGATTATTCAAACACTGAGATAACACATGTGTGTCATGTTATGAAATAGCATGATATGCAATAACACACATGTGTTGTCTCAGTGATTTGAATAAAAATATTTGAATAAAAGTTTAGATGGCGGTCAAATATTTCCAGTTTTTCAGAGTTTAAAGAAAAACCACAAGAGATACCCACACAACAGTTTATTTTTCTGCAATAACACATGAAATAGTATCTTAGTGATTTAGATAAGATTATTCAAACACTGAGATAACACCTATGTGTTATATCATGAAAAAGCATGATCTGCAATAATAAACATTGTTGTCTCTGTGAATTAAAATAAACATGATAAAGTTTAGATGGCAGTCAAATAATGTCCAGATTTACCGCTGTTTTGATGAATGATCGTTTTCCTATAACTACTACTTTTCAAATACTTTTAAGGGTTATGAACTTGATCATGTTGATTAGTTAGGGTAAAGCCAAGTATATTTTTTTGTTACATGGAAAAATAATTATATAATTCAGATAATTGTATCCCATACATGAAAAGTGGTAAATTAAATCATGTAGTAACAGATGCAAGTTACTGTGAATAATAACCATCACATGTTATCCCAACTTTAAGGGAGATAATCCAAACTGATTAAACATCCTTATCTGTTAATTATTTTTTTTACTAACAGTACCACAATAACACATGGGTGTTATTTCAAAATGTAACTATACAAGAGGGATAACTCTTGTAATTTTTCCACAATAACATGCATTGGTTATTTCCTGTAATAACTCTATAGGGTTATATCCCTGACTGTTTATAGTCAATTTTTTACAATTTTCATAAATTTTGTAAATTTTTGTAAATTTTTACAAAATATTTTCCACTGTAACTTGACTGGGCCAAGTTCATTATAGATAGAGATAATTGTAAGCAGCAAGAATGTTCAGTAAAGTAAGATCTACAAACACATCACCATCACCAAAACACAATTTTGTCATGAATCCATCTGTGTCCTTTGTTTAATATGCACATAGACCAAGGTGAGCGACACAGGCTCTTTAGAGCCTCTAGTTTATCAATGTACAGTAGTTGTAAGATATTTAAAAGAAAATTGTTGTTGATTTAGACTTGTCAATTTTTTTCATTTTACAGAATGCCTTTTTAATAATTTGGGATTGAGTTTGTGTAATCCAGATTCTTTGCTGATTAAGTTTTCAGTAGTTCTGATTCTTTCCTGATTAAAACTAGGAAGTTTTTTTTAACTTATAGAATATTTGTGAGAACTTAAAGCATGTTGAAGGTGAATTTCAGATGAATTGAATATCAAAGTCTTTATTTTACAGAATACCCTTTTGATGACTTTGAGGATCAAGCGTTGACAAGTCCAGATTTCTTTGAAGTAAAGAATATGGTTACCTTACATGATTTATTTGATGCCAGAGTTCATTTTGGTCACAAATCAGGATGTAGAAATGAATACATGACAGATTATTTGTTTGGATCACGACTTGAAGTTGATATTTTCGATTTAGACCAAACTTTACCATTGCTCCACGATGCATTAAATTTCATGGCTCATATTGCTTACAGGAAAGGTGTTATTCTATTTTTAAGTAGAAATCTACAAAACATGCATCTGATTGAACAAACAGCTAAGGAATGTGGAGAGTATAGCCACTGTCGTAAATGGCAGGAAAATCTGTTTACTAATTCGGTCCGACATTATCGTAGTGAGATAAGAATACCCGACCTTTGTGTTATATTTAATACTAAAGACACTACAGTGGAACAACATCAGGTAGTCAGTGAAAGTGCTAAATTGTGCATACCTACTATAGGTATTGTGGACTCTGACTGTGATCCTCGCCTTATAACATTCCCTGTACCAGGGAATGATGATACACCAGCTACTGTTCAGCTATACTGTAGACTGTTTAAACAAGCTATCCTCAAAGGTAAAGCAGCCAGAGCCAAAGCAGAGAAACAGAAAAATAATGTGAAAAACTAGATAGCATTGATAAATAAAAGGTTATTGTAGTGGATCTTAGTCATGTTAATTGTTTTATTTAATCATGGTATTGGGTGAATTATAAGCAGGTTTCTTCCAGTAGAATGGAAGCTAGAGTAAATGCTTAAACTAGATACAATTCTTCAAGCAGGACTTTTTCAAGTGCTGGGAGAATCGGCAGCAGAAGAACTGCTTCCATCACTGGTATTAAATTTCTTGAAACAGTATTTTAAGAGGGGTATTTTAAATATGAGATATAGATTTTGAAGCCATTTTCTATTACTAAATTTCAATAAATTATAGCTTTCTAAGAACTGCAACTTGTTTTGAACTATAGTCATAATAGTGTCAATATGCTTTGTCCATTTACTGTCATATCTAGAAAGTAGCACAAGATGTTTGTGCGTCATGACAGGATATATCAGTATATCTCAGAAATAGAACCACAATTTATTTGGGATTCTTTCATTGCTAAAGTTCATTATTTCTGTCTTTTTATGAAATGCAATCAAAACCCTATGTTACTGACTTGATATCTAAATCTTCCAAGGCTTATCACTACCTTTTTGATACACAACATATAGTGCATTGATCATAACATTCTATAATCTTTTCCATGAACATATCCAGAAATTTATTAATGTAATATATGCTCAGATATTCAAGTGACAAAACGATGTTACACCTGTCAAGAAAATTACATTACTTTTGCAAGGTGCAGGAATCTGATATCTGTTCTAAAAATATAAATGATGTCATGTTAAAGTCATCTTTAAAAAAATTGGAGTTATCTCCCATTGTCCAGAATTTTAGTTGAATCAACTACAACCAATGCTTTATTGACAATGCAATATTTAATTTTACTTCCCACTGATAAATTAACGCAATCTTTACCCTTCAGTGCTTACAAGCACTTTGATAAGTTCTGTGGCAGTCAGTTTTTATTGGTGGAGGAAACCGCTTCAAGTCGGAATGCCCACAGAGAACCACCAACCTTCGATAGGAAAACTGACAATCATTTGTCGTGCAAGTGTTATAATGTTGTAAGTCCCATTTTCCCAAGTGTTGGGAAATTGAACATGAACTTTAAAAATGCTATATCATGAATATTTGACCGAGATATAAACAATTATCATGGTTATGAAGGAATTGAATTTGCAGACATGAAAAGTAACTCTTTATTTAATTGTCTTTTTAATAGACAAGAAGCTTAGATAAATAAAGTACCTCCTTTTCTGGAGATAGAACTCTTTACTACAAACAATGTTGGTTTAGAAATTAATCCTATATTTCTGTTGGAGATAGATCATGGATTTTTCAATTGTTTTGCTTAGAATTACTCATAGATTGCAATTGAGTTCAAACCATTCAAACAATTAAAGCATAGTACTACTAAGATCATTTTGATAACAAATATTTTATAGCAAAAATGCTTGAAAAAATGTGGAGATACAACACTATAAAACTAGTTTTCTCTGAACTTCTGGTGTCCATACAGTATAAGATGATTGATTGATTGTTGGTTGCTTAACGTCCAGTGGCAAATATTTCATGCATGTTCAGGTTGAGTATTCAGGATGAATAAGCTATTATAATTCAATGGAGATAGAACATTATAATTCTGACAAAAACTGGTAGAATTTAGAAGTCGCGTATTATAGATATATAGGGAGATAATCCATTGCACCTGGATAGTTATCTCAATTTTATTAAAAACTGGACATATAATACCATAAGACTCACACAACAAATTACTATCCCAGTCAATTAAGATTGGAGTCATAACATGACATTTTATCATGTGTTTATTGTATAAAGAATTCATGCCATTGTAAGTAGAAAAGATTGATTATGAGGACAATGGAGGAGGAACTGAATTATTCTGGTTATAGACAGCTAATGGAAAAAGACTGCTTACTGAACAAGATGCTCTAAAGAGTCTGTGTCACTCGCCTTGGTCTACACAGTCTATGTGCATCTTCAAAGGATACTCTCCATCATTATAGACTAGTATTGAACTCATGACAAAAATCTCTATTATTTATGCCCCACCTAGGGGCATTATGTTTTTCGGTCTGTGCGTCCGTCTGTCCTGCTTCAGGTTAAAGTTTTGGTCAAGGTAGTTTTTGACGAAGTTGAAGTCCAATCAACTTGAAACTTAGTACACATGTTCCCTATGATATGATCTTTCTAATTTTAATACCAAATTAAGAGTTTTGACCCCAATTTCACGGTCCACTGACTATAGAAAATGATAGTGCGACTGTACTATGGACACATTCTTGTTTATCTTGTATTGCTCATGTGTTGCTGTTCATTTTTTCTGTTAAGGATGTATTCTTCTGACGTTTCAGTCACGTTGAAATCTCCTTCTGGAATTATTTCCAAAACATGTGATACAAGTGGAAAATATCAATGAATTTAAAAAATATTATAATTAAACTTAACTCTGTGAAAAAATTATGTATTTACAATAAGCAGTTTTTATACAACTGCAAAAAAATTTTGCGGTCGGATATTGGTATGACGTTGGCGTCGTCGTTGTCATCGTCGTCTGAAGACACATTGGTTTTCGCACTCTAACTTTAGTTTAATTGAATGGATCTCTATGAAATTTTACCATAAGGTTCAATACCACAAAAGGAAGGTTGGGATTGATTTTGGGGGTTATGGTACCAACAGTTAAGGAATTAGGGGCCAAAAAGGGGCCAAAAATAAGCATTTTTGTAACTTCCAGACATAACTTGTTTGTTAGTGTATGGATCTCTCTGACATTGTACCACAATGTTCCATATCACAAAGGGAATGCTGGGATTGATTTTGGGGGTAATTGCCTCAAAATTTTAAGAATTAGGGGCCAAAAAAGGGCAAAAAACAAGCATTTTTCTAGTTTCATGACAATAACTTGTGTGTAAGTGAATGGATCTTTCTGAAATTGTACTACAAGGTTCCATATCACAAAGGGAAACCTGGAATTGAGTTTGAGGGTAATTGCCTTAATCGTTTAGGAATAAGGGGCCAAAAAGGAGCTAAAAAACAGCATTTTTCTAGTTTCCAGACAATAACTTAATTGTGTTCAAAAGTATGGATCTCTCTGAAATTGTACTGCAAGGTACCATACCTCAGAGGGAAGACTGGGATTTATTTTGGGGGTAATTGCCTCAAAATTTTAGGAATTAGGGGCCAAAAAGGGGCAAAAAACAAGCATTTTTCTAGTTTCAGGACAATAACTTGTGTGTAAGTGTATGGATCTTTATGAAATTGTACTACAAGGTTCCATATCACAAAGGGAAAGCTGGGTTTGAGTTTGGGGGTGGTTGATGAATCATAAGGGGGTTCAAAAAATTCGGGGGGAGGGATTTTTTTTTTCCTTTTTTTTTCTTTAAAGTTTTCCATTTTAAATTGGTTATTTCTGATTTATATATAAAAGTAAATAATAATGATATGGTTTTAATAGGTAAATTAAAATTTTTTAAGTTCTTAGACCACATTCATTCTGTGTCAGAAACCTATGCTGTGTCAAATATTTAATTACAATCCAAATTCAGTGTGTATCAAGCTTGAATGTTGTGTCCCTACTTGCCCCAACTGTTCAGGATTCGACCTCTGCGGTCGTATCAAGCTGCGCCCACCGGAGCATTTTATTGAGTAATAAAATTTTCAAATTTTATAACCAATATTACCCAAAATGTTGAGAAAATGGGTGAGGGGTACATCCCAAATCAATTTTTTCTTTTCAAATTTCTTAGATATGTATTTTTTCCATCATTTGTAACAAAGAAGTTGAAATAATATGCTTTTTGTCCTAAAAAAAGAGAAAAATCCCAAATTTACAAAATTGACAACATGGTAAATTTGACACGAAAATGCAACAAAATTTTATAAAACTTTCTTATATTAACACCTACCCATAGTTTTTTTAAGTTAGATTTATTCAGATTGGTCCACTTCATCTTTAGTGAAAGTATGAAAAAGAGAGTTTAATGGTGAAACTGATTTTTTTCATGATAATAGCCCAAAAATGGGTAAAAAATTGTTGAAAAATGGGAAAATCATCAAAATTGGGTACTTTCAAATGGCTGTAGCAAAAAAAGAAGTGCACCACCATCTGATTTTTTCTTCACCAATTATTTTTTTACAGTCATATAAACCCAATAATCAGGTTAAGAAAAAAAGTTTAATTCTAGAAATTTAGGCTCCTCAGAGGTGTACATCCTTAAGAATGTACTTAGGTGAAATTAAAAAAAAATTTAAGAATTTAAAATTGATATTATAAGTCAAAAGAGTATCAGTTAAGGAACAAAATAAGCTTAAAATATTGATAGGTTATGGAGCTCCTTTTCAAGATATTTTAGTTTTAAAAAATGGTGGGAAAAGGCTGACTCAGCCTTTACCTTATATTTGCAATGGTATTGTTTGGGTCTCAAATAGAAAGAAAAGAAATCTAGAATCGGCTTAAATTTTGGTAAATGACCTTTTATGAGCTATTGAAGTCTTACGGTATATAAAAAGAAAAATGGGTGTTATGGGGCAAAATATTTTACCCTGTATCGTAGAAAGAAAACAAGGAGTCCGAACATCTGACACAAATTCCTAAACCTCACCTAAGTCAGTAACATCCTTAAAGTGTCTCTCTGTCAAGTTTTTGCCCGAAACTTAAAAGAGGGTGAAAAAAAAACTTCATTTATTGGCAATCACTACTAAATAGCGTCTACAAAAAATTGGCAAAATTACTCTTGTTTGTAGACATTTTTTGGTATTTAAAGTGTTTATCTCTCTTTTATAGATAATATAAGATACATCTAATTATCAAAATACAAAAAATTGGTCAAAATAGTCAGTAAAGAGCAAGAACTCCAATAAGGAGTTGACTTATGATTTTGGTCTTGTTGACTAATATGATTGTAAATCTTGTCATGCTGATCATTTTTATCTGGGTTGGAAGACGTCCAAAATTAAGTCACAAATTTTGCAACCTGGCCATTTTAGACTTTGACCTATTTTTGGTATTTAAATTGTATATCTATCTATTGATAAAG